TAAGAATGCATGTAAATATAATATTTTATTTTTAAAGATGGATGTTACGTAACAAATTGTTCGTAGATGTGTTTTAAGATGATTTTTAAATTTTCTTTTTAATTTCAACGAAAAAAAAAAAATTACGTTCAAAGTATTGTGATTATTTTAAGTATCGTATTTTAATAAAAATCAATAATCGATTGTTTAAATAAAAATACACAATTGTATGTATCTAGCTTTGCAAGTAATTGTTTATTGACTGTAATTCCAAACTTGAACATCTTTGGCTTCTGTGCATAGTGATTTATTTAAAATTGTAATTGTCTAATCATTGATGCTACTTGTTCATCAGATACTATAAATCTTTGGTTATTGACTGTAATGAATGATTTGAAAATATTCACCCAGTGAATAGATTGATATAATATAATGGCACAGCTATGTAAAATGATTCATGTAACGAGTTTAAAACTTGGAATATACTAGATTTATAGTGATACAAGGCCTAACAAGATTATGATCATGGAATGTATTGCATGATATTATAAATTTTCAATTATAGATATGTAATGTATATTTATAATAGACTATGCAATAATCAAAGTTAAAAGAAATTCAATTCTTTTTTAATTATTATTCTTATATTCCTTCCTATTATTCTTATATTTCTTCCTATTCTAAATTTTACTCTGTAAACAGGATATCTATATTTTTGCAATCATCTAGACTACAATAACGAATAACATTAAATTACTACGATCAAAATTCTAAATTTAATGCATCTTCAAAATTTTCAATTTTCTAAATGTACACCCAATAAAATGTTTACTCGAACAACCGTTCTTACCGTTCTTTGAATCTTAAATTTTAACTTTTGTTTTCCATCGTCCAAAAAAAAAAAAAAAGAAGAAGAAGAAGAAAGAAAAAGAAATAAAATCATTCAATGCGCCCTCCCGCGTGTAATATTCCTATCCCTGGCCAATTTTACATTACCCTTACGTCACATCGCGAACACGTGCTTTCTTTAAATAAATCCAGAGCGACGAATATGCAAATACAAGAGTCGACGAGTCAACGCTCGGCTTTCAGATCGTACCGGAAAGATATCACGTCAGAGAACCGCTATCTGTAGTCATTAAACTCTTATCTGACGAATTAAAAGCAAGATACATCGAAGGATCAATAGCGATCGAACGAGAAAAATGAAAAACGTATGACGAGGAAAATCTTTACTATCTTTGCGAGTGTTATTTAAGAAAGCTTGGATTACACACGATGAAAGTTTGATATTAAAAGAGATTAATTTTTACGTGTTCATATTTGATTAGAAATTAGAGATATGATAAAAATAATTAGATATTTTATATCAATAAAGATCAATATTAATTTTACTTACTATTAAATTCGAGAATAAATTAAATTAAAAAAATTGCAATTAAATTATAGCAATTTTTTTATAATTCCCCGATTATTATATTTCTGTTGAATTAAATGGAGCACAAATTTCTCAATATTAGTACACCTTTGTTACTATTTTTCAACTCTGTGAAGTATGCTTTGAAAAAAAAAAAAATCTTTGTTGGAAAGAACAGATCGTTGAATTGAACAAAATATTTAATTTAATTTTATTTAATAAAGGCAAAGTTGTATTTCATCGATTGAAATATTTTTTTCAATTCAACGATCTGTTCTTTCCAACAAAGATTTTTTTTTTTTTTCAAAGCATACTTCACAGAGTTGAAAAATAGTAACAAAGGTGTATTTCCTTCGTTTTAAAATTATCTCTGTACATTCCTTTTTATTCTTTCTTTATTTATTCGAAGCGTGTTCGATAAACAGAAGATACCATCATCATCCAGATGAAACTGTTCGATTATCAGAGTTGTAATGATGTAGTCATCTGGCGATGAAGGTAGGAAACGACACGCTATACATCGTAAATATTCAAACGTCCATGCTGTTATCTCGCCGATTTATCACTAGGCGATTGTGAATTCGCCTATTCCATGATTTCCGTGACGTCAAGTCAGGTAAGAACTCTCTTTATCTGTCGTCCAACTTTTTCTTTCTTTTTTTTTTTTTTTTTTTTTACTACCTTCGAAGAAAAATCCTGATTCTTCGCGAGATATTGTATATAATACGTGGAATTAAAAAAATTATTACATATTGCAGCAAGGAAATAAAAAATTTAATTCGATTTTATATATTGAAATTAGAAATTATATATGCTTTCTCAATAGTAAAACTGATGATTCATCGGTGTTGGATGGAGTAATAAGATATAACTATATATTCAAGAATTAAAAATAATTTTAAAAGTGTAAAAATTAATCAAATTTAATTCTAATACTTTTATAAACCATCTTTTCGTTAACTGCATACACCGTAATATAATACTTGAATTAAATATCATAAATCCCTATGTAACAAAACCATATACCCATACTTTCACTTTAAATACGTACAACTTTTAAATATTTTACAAAAACCTAAAACTCTATAGAATCCATACCGCAATCAAGATTTATCTCATAACTTCTGACTAATATTTTCTCACTGTATTTCTAACAGAACGATCGAAAGAAAAAAAGACACGCGCTTCATTCCACCGCTTTTATCGAATTAACGACCTTCTTATTCATCCCAGAGGAGACGCGTTGGCAAGATGCGAAAGGAAGAAGAGGAGCCGTGTCGCAATTTCCTTCGGCGGCCTATTCGTTTCGTATTAATTTCCGTTTCAATTAACCGAGATACCGATCGCACCCGGTATAAATTACCATTCTCCCTCCCTCCCCTCCTTTTATCGTTCGCGAAAATCGAAAATCAACGACGATAAAATCAGCGAGGATATTTCCAAGCGAGAAAGGAGGAAAATGATCGAGAAGCTTTGGAATGAGGAGGAAAGGGAGGGAGAGGGATGCATGACACGGACAAATGGACGGAGGGGGAGAGACGAGAAGGTCCGCGAAATAATCCACGGCCACGGCGCAATTAGCCACCTCGTTAATGATCGAGGTGGAGGATCGAGGAAGAGATAACGGAGAGACTAATAAACAACGAGAAATTAGTGTTATAGCTGTGCGGATCTGGCCGATTGGGAGGTTTAAGGTTGAACGTTATGGATACTAATGGAAGGTATGCTTGCGAGGGAATAATTACGGGGATGAAGTCGTTTGCTGGATTTCGCGCGTGATTTTGAGAGATTTTTAGACACGATTGGTTTATTTATGAAATTGTGCGTGAATAAGGTAGGAAGAAGGAAAGTGTTGGCGAACGTGGATCAAGAAATGAAGTGAGATTTTTTGGATATTTGTGGTGAGCGGAAGAAAGGAAAGGTACTAACGAGCTTGAATCGAGAAATTAGCGTTTTCAAAGTCCTTGCTTTATTTAGAGAAATGGGTTTCAGTTTAGGGAATTAGTAGGTACTCGCTAAGTGAAGGAAAGCGAGAAAGTAAGGAAAGTACTAACACGAGCCGAAAAATAAGAATAAAAATAAAATCTGGATCATTGAAACAACGATTAATATCCGATTCAAAACACCTTTTTTACCTACGAAATTATACCCCTCTCCAATCCCTCGAAACTTGAACACCCTTAATCGCTCATTTTCGAAAAAAAAAAAAAAAAAGAAAAGAAACGAATCTCTCAAATTAATCTCAAATTCATCGAGCAATTCGAGCAATTCCACGTATTAGAAAAAAAAAAAAATCCTCTTCCTACGCGGATCCTATCCTTCCTCGAATCCTCATCATCCTCGATCAAAAGGAAGAGAAAACGGGAATAAAAGAACAAATCCTGAAAATCTGTTTTTAATTCCAAGGGAGATCCCTCGACCGGTGATTTTTCATTTCGGCCTCCGAGGAATGCTGACCACGATTCGTCGAAGTATCATCAGGTGTACGTAAGAGGCGAGGGGAGCGTGGAGAAGTTTCGAGCAACGCGAGTCGTACTCTAGGCGGGCAGGTTGGGTTGGTAGAAGGAATATGAGCATGCACACGGCTGCGAGTGATGCGAATAAAGGTCCGTGCAACGAGGAGAGGATACGGGGCATACGTGTGGGTGTTGGTGTAGGTGTGGGTGCTTTGGAGCAGCGGCCTTACAAGGACGTCTGGACGTTCCTAGCTTTCCCTGAGAGCCGTGTTGCACACCTTGGGACTGGGACTAAACGCGTTAACGGATCTTTCACAACGCGTTTCTGCGCTGACGAATACCACGGATCACGGGTTTGGGAACAACGGTTCAGCGACATTCGTTGCCATCGAATAATCGATAAAACCGGCCAGCCAACGTGTATCCAATTTGTCAATTGTGCCGGCGACCTCTCTTGTCACGCCACTCTCAGCTTATGAATAGATAATACGTTATAATGATTTATCGTGGCGAGGTTGGACGATAAAGAATTAGCGCGAAATTGAAATTTTGTGTCTCGCGGCCTCGTAAGAATTCAACTCGGACGAGAGAGAGAGAGAGAGAGAGAAAGAGAGGTTAAGATTGGAAGAGAGATATCGTATGTTGTTGAGGAATTTAAATGGATTTGATCGATAAATTTATTAGGATAAACAGTATTAATACTAGGAGATAGAATTTTAACGAATTTGAAACGAAGGAAATATAAAACCGCTATCTTCGACCCTTCTGTTAGAATATATTTCCGTGAACGGAATATTACTTTACGGAATTTAATAGATTAAACTCTTCAACGATCTAAAAAAGATTAATGGCCAGGCATCGTAAACGACACTATATTCATCAATCGTTTCCACGCAAAACGATTGACCTTTCGAAGATCGAATCCCATCGAGCCGCAATAAAATCGAACATAACTCTCGTTCAACATCTTCCCGCATCGAAATAAAGAAAGATAAAAATGGTCATATATTAAACTTTTTATACGTTCCACGCTATCCGCTAATCCTCTTAAGATTATCTTATAGAATATACTATTTAAGATATTTAATTACATCATATATATCATTCTAACGAAACGAAAAGAGGCAAAAAAAAAAAAAAATCCTTACCTTCGTTATTGAAGCTCTCCTCCTCCTCCTCCAACGTACGTACTCCTCTGACGGTGGTGGACGACGCGTTCTCAACTCGCACCCCCAACAAACTATCCAAAACCTCGACAACCAATCGGCCGTCCACGCTCTTCTCCTCCTCTCTCTTTGTGCGCGCACCGGTCCATAATACCATAACCAGGAACACGATGATCAACAGCACGATGCTGATCACAGCAGCGACGATGGAGGCGCGACTCGAGACCCGCGACATGTCTGCGCGCTCCCCTTCCACGCGTTTGTTTCTACGTTTCGCCCCCCCTTATATTATTACTCCCTGTCTGTCCCTTGTTCTAATCGCGAAAAGAACGCGTTCTTTCCTTCCTTTTTTTTTTCTTTTTTCTTTTTCTTGGAAAAGGGAGGAAGACAGAAGAGGAGAGACAGATCCCGGCCACCCGATCGCAAGCCACCCGAGCCGAGCGGTCAGTCGATCATTTTCGTGGCTCTTCGACGAGGAGAGAAGAGGATTATCGCGCAGGCACCATTCAGGTGATTCGCCACTCCTGAACAACCCCTCGAGCGCCCATAGAGGATCCTCTCGACGGATCTCGACGACCTCTCCTCCCCCCGCTCTTTTCCCTCCTCCTCCTCCTCCAAGCGGATGGATCCTGTTTCTTCCTCTATCTCTCTTTCTCTCTCTCTTTCTCTCTCTGTCTCTCTTCCCTCTCTCGCCCTTCGAGAAACGTGCCGGCTAAATCCAACCGGGATCCAACCGCGGTACGCCCATTAAGAAGCGAGACGATCCCCGATTCGACGTGCACCGCGTCCTATCCACCACGGTGTCGTTACCTTTCCTTGGTTGGGAACGATTCTCCCTCGCGCGAGCCACGATTACGATGTGTTGCGGTGGTTGCGGGGCCAAGTCGATTTTCACGCGGTTAAGAAATTAAGGGCGTTGCAATGGTAAGAGAATTGGAGGGATTCTTTTCTTTTCCTTTTTTTTTTTTTTTAGTGAAGTTTCGTGGATTTATCGATTGATTGGACGATAGGGGTAGATTTTTGGTCGTCGAGGTCACCTCGTCGCTCGTTCTTCTGCTCTCATCCCGGCCTGAAAATAAAGAAGAAACGGATTTGTAATGAGAATGTAGAATTGTTGAGTGGATATTTTCTGACAAATAATTTTTTTTTTTTTTTTTAGTTAATTGGAATTACGATTAAATCGTAATATTGGTTGGTTTTCCTTCGATTGGAAAAATATTTATCGTTGAAACGAAACGACGAATAGAAGTTTTAGAATTTCTTTTATGGAAGAGGTTAAAGAAAGGCGAACTCTTGAGAAGTTCTGTGCTACCGTTTGATAAATAGGCAAAGAAAAGTGAAAGTCAGACAACGGGCGACTAACACCGTTAATGTCGGCCAAGATAACCGCGCGCAGATAATTGAATATCGCTACCTTAATTATAAAACCTGTTAACTCATCAAAATTTCAAATTTTAAACGTTATAATTTTCTCCCCTTTGGATAAGATTTTCTTTTTTTTTTTTTTTTTTTTTTTTTCTAATTTACGTAACAAAAATCAAATTCTTCTTTCGTACTTTTTTAACACTTTGCCGTTTCGATAAATTATGTAACAATACGATAATTCGAATAAGATGTATTCACATAATCCTGCAGATTGAAACGAAAATTTACTTTATGAATTTTAATTCTAGTTCATCAATCTTAAAAATCTTCATTGATCGATTGAAAAGATCTCTTATACACTTACAAATCCACCTAATTACAAACGCATTCTACAGAATCATTCCTCCAATTAAACTCATCCAACGGCAGAAAAGTAACAACAACTATAACGACAACGACAACAACAACAACAACAACAATACCAAAAGAAAAAAGCAAAGAAAATTATAACTTAAATTGGTCGTTAAAAACGACCATTAATCAATTAAAAACTCCACACATAACTCACCAAGCAATATTCATCCAACGACAGATATTCCGCACACAATTCACAAGCTCGCGCAAATAATAATAACCATGCACAAGTCGGATCCGTCCAACCGTGGCGGGAAAAGTACGGAAGGGAGGAGGGAGGGAAGGAGGGGAGAAAAGAGGGGGAAAAAGGAAATAAAGGAAGAAAAGAAAAGAAAAGAAAAGAAAAGAAAAGAAAAAAAAAAGGGGAAAAGAGTCGAGAAAACAAAGGAAACGACGACGAGGGAAAACATTTAGACACGGTCAGAGACGGGAGAGAATGATTTCCACGATGAGGTCACCGGCACGGGAGATGATTTCTCCCGTGTCGAGCAATTTAACCGTGCGAATCACCGTGAAACCGATTCGTGTCGCGTTAAACATTTACGACGCGGTGCGTCGTTCTCTTATCGCGCGACACGGAGACCACCGCGCAAATAAATTTCCGATCGTATCTTCGGGAAAGGAAGAAGGGAGGAAGCGAGGAGAAGGATTAATCGACGCGTCCCTGATTGGATCGAGCAGCCGCGTTAATTCGGAAATAATTGACTTAAGCCACGCGTGATTGAGCTGAAAATCATCGAAGAACCTCCTCGAAGAGGTGGATCCGGGGGGAGGAGGAGGAAGATACTTTTTTTCTTCTTCTTCTTTTTCTTCTTCCTCTCTTTCTTGCCGTTAACCGTCTCTGAATGAACGAGAAATTGTGATCGCGAGGAATTATTTATATGGAAATGTTGAAAACGAGGAAGTGAAAGAGAAATCTTTCTTTTTAATCTTTGCCAATAGTTTCGATACGCTCGAAAATTGGTAAAAAAATTGGAGAATTTAAATGTTGTTAAATGGTCACGTAGAGAATTTGATAATTTGGAGAATGGAAAATTTAATGGTTGAACGATGGGAAAACTGAAATTTCAGGAATCGAAAAATTACAAAAAAAAATCGAAAAGTTAAAGAAACTCGAAGATTCGAAAATCCAAGAATTCAAAAAAGAAAAAAAAATCGATTTTTTTTTTAATATCATCTCGTTACTCCAACTTTTGTCGACCGATGCAAGACGATCAACGGTTTCCCAGTGCAAGATATTCCTTCCTCTCATCGTGGATGATTTCTCGACTTGCTCGATTCTTTTTTTTTTTTTTTTTTCTTTATATTCTGTTCTCGATCTCCGTGGCTGGGTGTCGTAAATTAGAGCTCAAGGGCTGCCACGTCTGGGACCACACCGCGGCCCGCAATTCAATGTGAAGGATCTCGTTTGAAAGTGAGAAACAATCTTAACTGTTATTTTTATCGAAGCGTCGAATACTTTTTCTCATGGTTTCCAACTTCAAAGAGGGGATAGAGTTTTGAATTTTCGTCGTGTATAAATTCGAACGACGAAACTTATGGGAACAGTATGTTCTCGAGCTGTATAGCGTAGTATGTTCAACCTCGTCGGAGGTTAATGATCACGTTGCTCGATATGGTTGGATTATATGGTGTAATTTACAGAATGAATCACGAAAGTGTTTTTAATGCGATCGATGAAGGAAGTATTTTGAATGAGAATATTTCAATGATGATACTTGATCGCCGAACAACTCTTATCTATGATATACGACGTATTTGACATTTTCATTCGAATATATCATTTTGGACCTAGAAAGTTTCTTTCATCTTAATTGAGAATAATTCAAAACCGTTCGAGTTACGAAGAAAGTTCGACGAATGAAAATATCTTTGGTAAAAAATCTGTAATTTCGAAATAAAATTAAACTTCAATTCGGAGAAATTCGTACTCATCCAAAAATTAAAATAAAAACTGTGTATAGTGGAGAAAGATCGATGAAAGAAATATTTTTTCAGTTTTCCTCGAGTGATCTTATACGTGTGTGCAACGTTTATATTGGCATTATTGTTGGTATTGAAAGATCGACCACAATTTAATTTGGTCTCTTGACCAAGAGAACAGAGACGGAAATCGGTAATTAGACCACGTCAGACGGTATGTATAAATAGCGCTCAACGATTTCTTTCAGCCGTTTTACATCGAACGGTTCTTCGAATCTTATGTTCAGTTCTCTTTAATTGCAAAATAGCCCGCCTTCCTATCTACCAAAAACTTTTTCTCTATCGTACACATTTTTTCGATTATCGCGATTCATTGAATTTAAAATTTCAGGACAGATTAAATGAATTTTGGAAATAAACGAACAAAGCAAATTATCAACGATAATTTTCGATATGTCGAGCATAATGAGTGGAATTTTTAAAATAAAATTCGGGACGACGATCCTCGTTTATATATAATTAGAAAACGATATCGCTCGTTAATATGTGTATACTATATGGCGTATAATATACGTGTTGAAATGATACCTTGAAATATCGAAACACCAGAATCGAATTTCGAAGTTGGAAGTTAATTCCCCACGCATCTATTGCGCACAACGAGCATTAATAAATGCTCTCTCGAAGATTCATTAGCATTTATCAGGCAAAGAAAACACCATCGATCAAGGATCGAATAGTGGATTATTCAAAGAACGCAGTTAGCCGTGGCCAGACCTAACAATCGCCAACTTAAAAATCTCAAGGATTTTTTCGTTCCACGTTCGACCCACACCGGTTCCACGAAATTTCTGAAGGTGCGTCAATTTTTTTCTTTTTTTTTTTACATCGCGAAAAAAAAATTCCTGTCAACAACTATTATAATATCAATTATATCAGATATTTGTGTATATCGTATATCGATTACCAATCACCTTCATTATCCATATTTTTATTTTTATCGAAAAATAAAATGTTTGTTTTTGCAGTAAGGAGAGTACTAAAGTAAAATCGTTAATTTTTAAAATGAAATACGTACATTTCGTTCTTTGCAAAGAGAACTCAAGTGCTCTTTGCCGAAATTAATAATAATTTTTATCATAGAGATAGATATTTATCATAATTGATTAATTTAAATATGGATAAAGATTGTGATACGTTTTGTTCCACTGTTAATTAAATTCTTTCCTTTCACTTTGATTCATCGGCAAGGAAATCCGTTTAAATGAAGTTTCACGATAAAAATAACGCAATCTCCTTTGACGGTATCTTTAAGGGTTAACGAACGTCGGTGAACATTTGCAAACATTTCGCGCGGCATTGGATATACCCGACTTAACGAACCTACGAGCCGTAGACCACAGAGAGTCCTCTTTGCCATCGTTGGTAGAAAATCAAAGAGTCTAACAACTCTCTCGAAATAAAAGCAACGAAACCCGTGTATGTAACGTATACTTCTGCGATCCGCGTGCAACATAATGGTCGGTTGTATTACCCGGTTCAAAAATTTTCCATCTTGCGTTTGAAACTTCGTTCGATCTTCGCGTCGTGTTTCTTTCTTTGGATAAATAAAATTTGGAATAATATTCCAGATGTTGACAACATGTTCGTTCGAGCAATTTGAGAGAAATTTCAAATATATAATTTTTGTACCTACATTTTTCGTAACATTTGAACATTTATTTTTAATTTCAGAGATTCATTTCACTTTTGCCAATGTTTAAAAAATTGTTGAAAATAAAAGATATAGATTTAGAAAGGAAAGGATAAAACTTTCGAAAATATTTATTGTCGAAAGTATTCCTCGAAATGGTAATATTGCGTTTAATAGTGAAAATAACATTCTCGTCGCAATGACTAATCGCAAGAAATAAAATTATTTCGATTCGCAACGAATTTTTATTATTTATTTTAGCGCACGAATCATAAACGCGTTATTTTAATCTTTTTTTTTTAACTTTTACAAATTTATATAATCGATCAATCAAATCGAAACGCTATCTTCGTCTCAAATATCTAAAAAAAAAAAAAAAAACACTTACCAAATTTTTCTTTCTCCTAACACTTTACGATTAATAATAAAATAATTCTTACGTATATCTAATTTTCATTTGAAAAATCTTCGATGACTCGACAATTTTACCTTCCCTTTCAAAATTCTAAATTAACTAACTCCCCCCAACAATCACACAATTACAATATTAAAATCTCTCTCTCTCTTTCTCTCTCAAAAAATCTTCGATAAGAATAAGAAATCTTCACAACTCAAACAACGTTATCTCGTCCCCTCGAGATCCAGAAATTCTTACTCCCCCCCTCCAACATATC